CATCGGCCCACACATGAGCTCAAAATTTTGTGGCCTTTGGGTAGGGCTTGGCTTAGCCTATTTAAGATAGGGCTGACTCGGCTTGGCCCATTCAACCCTTAGGACTAGGTCCATTTTATAAGCCTATGTGTAACAGTTACTTAGAAAAGGCATTATATGTGTTAATCATGTGAATGGAGACTAGGCATTATATGTGTTAATCATGTGAATGGTGACTATATGATTGACGTTACCTTCATTTACACATTTGATTTAATTTAATTTGTGTGTGTGGAAAAGATTGTCTTAATACATTTATTGAGTGAGTCCAAATGTATCTCAACCCGGTAATTTTCACTTCCATATTCGGTATGTTGTGCCGTTATTAAAAGTTTTTCATCGGAGTTTGATATATAATGTCGAACAAACTAAGGGTTTATTAAATTGACATAGTATTTTAATTATTATCATCTTGGTAGATGTTAGGATTTTGTTTAGCTTATGGTTTTATCTTTTCTTGCCAAACTTGTAATTTTGAATGTAACTTCTTATGAACCTAAACAAGCTCAATTAGCTAGTTTTAGAATGGTTGTTTCAGCTGAGCTCAAAGTTCAACATGGCATAGGTGCAATCAATAATCATTAAAGATAAATCACAGAGTTCAACATGGCACAGGTGCAATCAATGATCATTAAAGATAAATCATTCATGACTATTGCATTGCATTTGTGTGTTTATACTTAGTTGCCTAGTGTGGTTAACTAGGCAAGCTCGTTAAAAACATTGAGATTTGTGGTGTTTTAAATTGTGCGGCCTTGTCAAATTAAAATGATTTCCTTTTGTATGACTAGTGCATATCTCTAGTCATCCTTTGCATACCGCCACCTCACTCTTCGCTCCATGGATTTCTGGTGTGCTAATTTTAACAAAAACGGTGGCTAATGCATTTTCAGAGTTACTTCTCACACTTTTAATTTTTAGGGTTATTCACTTGCTCTACATTTTTCAGTGAGAGCTCATGGTTTTGAAATGAGATTTCAATTGTGGTGTTTGAAATATGCTTATGTTTTTCATAAATTTGAATCTAGTTTTGCATATCATTCATAAATATAGTTCTAGGTTCCGATTCAAGATTGGTTTCTTCAATATTATATTATCTTGAAGAAATCAATCCAACTACATTTGAATCTACAAATCATATACTGGGGTTGTTTTTGAGAGATCTACTTGCACCATGGAGCGAAGAGTTGTTGTTATGAAGCTGTCATTTCCATGAAGACAAATTGATAATGTTTCCGAGCATAGTAAGAATATTTCACAAAGGTATAACTGCTTCCTTAACTTTATATATTAAATTTTAAGCTTGCTTTGTAAGAATATTCTTAAGCTTAGTGGATTGCCTGGTCAGAATGATGACCCCCACACCAGAAAATGTTCAGTCAGGAACCCACCACTGGGAAAAGTTGGGGGATCATCATTTGACTAGGAAATTCACTAAACATGAAAGATTCTTATAGAGAACAACACAACTAGCTGAAGGATTCCTAGATCTATTTAGGAAGCAGCTCTACATCTCTGAGCAATCTTCATGCTCAGCTCAGCAACACTAGCAGCTAGTCTTCATGGAAATGGCATCTTCAACATCAGCTCTTCACTCCATGAAACCATATGCTTAACTCAAATTCAACTTTGAATAGATAAATGTAGATTCAAAAATGAACTTGACCGATTCCTTCAAGATATCATATTCTTGAAGAAACCAATCAAAAAAACATGACCTCACAGAGCAGAAATGTAGAGCGAAGTGTTAGATATATGCCCTAAAAGTTAACATAAAATGGATGATTATAAGGAAATAATATATAGTAGTAAAGGGGCAAGAACGTTGCTTTAGATACATAACGTACACAAAGTAACAAGTCCATGGATTAAGATATAAATGGAAAGTGGTTTAAAGAAGTTAGATGTACGAGACCTTTCCATACATATAAATATCGTATCCTAAAATGTTTCTGGTCATAGGATCACCAATTGGACAATGGTGACCCATAAAGACTGGTACACACTATGTCTGCTCAATTAGGAGGATGACTAGTCTCAAGTCATTCGTGTAGAGACACTGAGACAGATGTGTAGGTGCTCTATAGAAGGTGGAGTCCACTGAACATGATCAACTCTAGAATTCTTGTATGGAAGTCTTACTCACAAGTGTCAAACAAAGAATTCTAAGTTGTGATAATGCAAATTAATCCTTAGACTTAAGACATCACAGTTGTCTTCTGTATATGTTGTTTCTCTTTAAGAACACTATACGGTTGTATCAAAATGATGTGACTTAAAGGTGTTCCTCAGGACGCTCAGCGTGTACGCAAAGACAGGTGAATGTACAATAAGGAATCTATGCTTTTAGTAAGAAGAGAGAATACTCTAAAGATATGATTCGTGAATCTTTGGCCAAAGTATTGGATGGAAATTGAAACAAGAATGTTTGCAATTTCATCAAATTGAATCATACAATCAAGAGATATCATATTAGGGATTTTGACACAAGTTTACCATATCCCAAGAATATGACATAGAGTATTGAATTAGAAAAAGATCGAATTGCATTGTAATCACAAACTGACTAGGTTCTCTAAATGAATTCGTTTGAGCTTAGGTAGCCATGACATACTGCTAAGTGTCACTTATGGCTTGTGGAAGCCCTGTAAGGACTAATTATAATTAGCCTTCGCCAATAAGGAGAATTGTATAGAGGGATACAATTCACACTTTATTCAGAGTGAATCATTCATACCCACTGCCTCGCTAATTAGAACCTATAAGATCACACACCGAAAAGGAATCCATTGGGAAATTATGAAGAGAATGAATGATTTTGTGACTTGGTCGACTTGGTCAAAGTCAATGTGAAAGTCAAAGGTCAAAGTCAAAAGTCAAAGGTCAAATGATTGACCCGATACTTGACACGGTCAACTAAGGATGAACGGGACCAACACTCATTAGACAAGTGAGTGATTGAATTAGTTAAGTCACTAGAATAATTAAATTGATTAGATTAATTTAATTATTCAATTAAAGTTATGAAACTTTAATTAAAGGTCTCATATGACTTGGAAATTCAAAAGAGATTTGGCCATATGGACTTAGACACATATGTGACACATTATAGGATTAATGTGTTGGACCAAGATAGCAAAAGATGACACACAAAAGGAGGGTGTGGCTACACTAGGGCTTGGGGGCATTTTTGTCACTCTTGTCACATTTTTTATCCTATAAGTGTGTAGCTATGGAATCCTATCATC